CGGGTCATCTAGCTGCCCCCAAAGCAGTATTCTTGAAGGACAGACATGGCTACGTCACTCCCCCTGCTCAAGAAGGTCCAGTGGCTCACTACTGCCTCTTATGTCAAATACAAACTGCTTTTTGGATCTTCACCTCCAGCCTCCAACCTGCCTGTTGAGACGTTACACATTCCACACCATACACACTATGGTCTAACCAAACTGGTTTATTTGCTCTCCCTCACACCCAATATGCCTTCTCCTATCTGCTTTTGCACAGGCTGTTCCCCAGACCTGGACCATACTTTCTTCTCAATTCTGCCTGGAAGAATCTTTCCCTCAAGGCACTGCTCAAGCACCACCACCTACATGAGGCCCACCCTAATCATTCTGGTTGCTGGTTCCCACCCCTTCCCCCCATTACCTTTTATTGACTAGGTATATACTGATGTGCAAGTGTTGTTTCCTTTGATAGAATGAGAGTGCCTTGGGGGCTGTTCCGGCTTCATTTTTGTCATTGTATTCCCAACACTGAGCAAAGTGTCTCACATATACAGTGGGCACTTAATACCTGCTTGTTGATTGATTGATGTTAGGGCATTGAAGTCATCAGAGCAAGAGGGATTGGTCAGAAAAGATGTTCAGGAGGAGGGGACTTTTGAACCAGACCACAAATAAAGAATCCCCAAACCATTCAGCTTGCAGCATCGGACTAGCTGCCGTGCTGATGTATAAATTGGGATCACTTCACTACACACCCAAAGGGGAAAAAAAAGTTTCCATCTTCAAATGTTAAGCTTAAAATAAGGTACTACTTGGGTGCCAGCTGATCTGTGAAATCTGCTGAGTAAACTGGCAGCGTCCTCCGGAGAAAACCAGCCTGTTTCTCCCTGGCTTTCAGGAGTGAGTGTGGAAGGGGGTGGCAGGGAGACAGAGGAGAGTGACTCTGGGGCGAGGCAGTCCAATGGATGGCCCCCAGCAGGCCAGGAAGGAAGTGAAGGGCTGGATGAGTGGAAAGCATTGCTAACCAGGACAGGAGGCAGCATGGCCTCCTCTTCCAGAGGTATAATTATGAAGGAGGAACCTGCCTCTCCAGGCTCACTCATGCCCAGCCTGCAGCATCCAAGGAGAGCTAGCTTTCTGTCACATTCCTCTCCATCCCCACGTCTATTTCTTTGCAAGCATTTCTGGGGCTTCTTCATGGGTAAATATATCCTTCCTCCTCCAGCAGAGCAGGGGCTCCCTGAGGACAGGAGCTGTGTATAAGACCAGGGGTTCCTGGAGGGTGGGGCAGACTAGTGCCTCCCTCATCAACTCCGAGAGCCAAAGCATCTGCATCTCTTCACCTGGTGCCTAGCATAGAGAGGTGCTCATATCTCACCTCTAAAGTTATCTCCCCCTGCCCCAAATACACACACACACACACACACACACACACACACACACACACACACACACATACGGAGAGAGAGAGAGAGAGAGAGAGCGCTCTGTCTCATCCAAGTACATCTCCTCCTTCGTATATTCCATGTTCATTTCCAACTCCTCCCCTTTGCTTAGACTGTTCCTTTCACCTGCACATGTCCTTTAAGTTCTAGTTCAAGTCTCACCTCCTCCAGGAAGTCTTCACAGGCTACACTGATGTTGCCTTTCACTCAACTAGAGTTTTACTGTCTGGACCCCATACTCCACAACTAGACCCCTGATCACACAAGCCAATTCAACACATATGTAATGAGCACCTGCTGTGTTCAGGGCTCTGGGCACTAGAAGATATATGTGACCCATCAGCTCCTTGAGGGCGGGGGCCTGGCACTGTGTCTATTGCTCATTATATCCCTAATAGCACATTGGGCATAGTAGGTGTTCTGTAGATATTTCTGGAGTCGATGGATGTTTGCTGAATTCACAAAACAATTAACTACTATGTTTCAGGAATAGTGCTAGGTACTGGGAAGGAGAAGAGATGGGTGCAAGCATTTATTAAGTATCTACCATATGCCAGTCATTGTGCTAAGCACTTTTCAGATATTCTCATTTGATCTTCACATTTGGGGTTTTTGTGGCAAAGATTCTGGAGTGATTTGCCATTTCCTTCTCCAGCTCATTTTACACATGAGGAAACTGAGGCAAACAGGGTTAAGTGACTTGCCCCAGGGTCACACAGCTAGTACAAGTCTGAGGCCAGATTTGATGGTCTGGACTCTATCCACTACACCACCCAGCTGCCAGCCCTCTATCTGCTTTGCCATGTAGCTGGGGATATAATGGCAAAAACAAAATATTCTGTGTCTTCTGTGGGGAAAGCAGAGGACAGCATGTACACAAATATGTAAACACAAAGTCACTGGAACAGGGAGAGAGTATTCACCACTAGGGGACTGGAAGGGCTTCCCAAGGGTAAGACAAACAAAAACAAGGATTCTTGGAGGTAGAGATGAGTTGAGAATGAATCCCTGGCATGAGGGATGACTATGGGTAAAATGCACAGAGGTGGGGTGGAATGTTGAATATGGAAAACAGCTGATAGTTCAGTTTGGCTGGAATGTAGAGTATGTGAAGGGGAGTCATGTGCATTAAGCCTGAAAAAGTTGGAGCCAGACTGCAGGGGGCCTTAAATGCCAAACTGAGGAATTTACATTTCCCCCCTCTGGCAATAGGAAGCCATTAAAGGCTTTAGAGAAGGGGAATGACACAGTGCCACCATCCTGTACTCAAAGACTGTACAATTCTCTGAGGATGAGGACCATGTCTCCTCTTTGTTTTCCCCACAGGGTCTAGGAAAAGCCTGCGCCTACAGTAGGTTCACAAAGAATGTTGGCTGGATCCATGATGGGTAAGAACCTTGGGGGTTCTTATGTAATGGTGGCTGGAAGACAGGCTTGCTAAGATACTTACAATGGGTGTTCCAAAGGGGATGTAACCTGTAGGAGAAAGGGAAGGATAAATAAGCAAGTCAGTGCCTCATGCCTATTTCCTGAGCAATCTCAGATGAAGAACCTGGGCAGTGAGGATGACCCCAAGAGTTCCTCTGAGAAACAGCCCGGGTTCACCATTCTAAACTGACCTTTCTGGACTGAGATCTACCCTGGACAGCAACAGGAGGGGTCAGGGGAACATTGGGAGTCAAGGCACTGTGCAGCTCAAATATTTTTTCTGCCATATACTCCACACCCCACTCTTCTATCACACACGTAGGATATGCAGCTTTCTCCAGAGACACGGAAGCGAGCAGAATACCTTCCCCAATCTTCAACACCCCCTCCTGTAGTATCATTTCCCTCTCCATCCAAGCCAGTCTCTTTGCTAGGACCCTCTGGGCCTTGGGCTCACAGAATTCCCTCAGCCTGGAATGTGCTTCACCTTTATCCCCTCTCCGCAGGCTGCTCTCAAACAGAGTCATTATCTCATCATGGGTTCAGAGATGGCAAGGACCTTAGATAATGTGTTAACCAAACTCCTCATTTTATAGATGGGGAAACTGAGGGCCAGAGAGAGTAAGAATTAGGAGACATAACACACAGATTTAGAACTAGATGGACCCTTAGAGTCCATGGAGACCAGCCCCATGTTTAACAGTTGAGGAAATGAGGGCCCAGGAAGGGGGCTAGCCCAAGTTACCTCAAGCAACTAGCCCAATGTCACAAAGATATCAGATGTCAAGGTCAGGATTAGAAGCCAGGTTGTCTGATCCCAGTACCTATACAGGATGGTGTAATGGATAGAGCTCTGGTTGGGAGCGAGGAAGACCGAGGTTCAAATCCTACTTTAGATACTTAAGAGCTGTGACCTCAGGCAAGCAATTTAACCGCCCTGTGCCTCTGTTTCCTCCTATGTAAAATGAGGGAGTTGAACTCAATGCCCTCAAAGGTCCCTTCTGGGGCCATAAGATCTCATGACTTGGCCAAGATGGCACATGTGGTGACTAGCAGAGTCACCCTCAAACCTACCTCCTCCACGCCAACACCATTTCCATCCAAATGTTGTCCATCCTCAGTCCATCCTTTCTAAGGCCCAGGTCGAGGAAACCTGTCCTGCCCTTCCAGCCCCAACCTCCCCAATAAATGAAGCAACATTGACTTCTGCCTGCTCTGACCCTTAAAACCACACAGCTTCGCGGTTCCAGCTATGCAAATTTAACCTTCCCACTAGACCAGGCAATCCTTGAGGGTAGAGACATGTCTTCTCTAGTCTTCTCCTTTCCCCTCTAACAAAATGAGTCTCTCTGCTCCATGAAACATAGGTCAAATCTTCCCCACTCCAGGAAGCCTTCCCTGATTATCCCAACTGAACCCATGCATCATAATAACACCACGTTTTATCTGGAAATGACTTCTTCCACTTAAGTGAGCTTTCTAGACAAATAGGTGCCAAGACGTTTCCATTTTAGCCAATTTTGAAGGTACTGAATACTTGTCTTTTTGTAGTTATTAATACTTTATCTTCTTATAAAGAGTACTGTGAGTTAGTCAGTCGGATGCTTTCTGGGTTGCTTTACAAAGTGATCCCTCTGAGTGTGATGACTAGTGTAAATAGCATTGACTGGGGCAGAGGACAAAGGAGGGATCAGTTCCTCTGGGCTGGTACTTCCAGGAGGACTTACTGGAGACAGTATTGGGCAGGCTGTGAAAGAAGGGCAAACTGTAAGAAGACATAAGAGGTGGAGGTCCACAGTGTGGAATGCTGCATCCAAAGAGATGACTCTTTGGGAGGAGGGAAAGGGAGGGATACAGTCAAGGGATGCTGGTAAATGTTTAACAACCAGCTATTATATATGCACACACTCACCCATAACACACTTTTAAATCTGCATAATTAACATTTTTCCCTCACTTTCTTAAGTCTAAGCAATCAGCAAAACAATAAATTAAGGCCTGATTTGTGGTATTTGTCAATTTCCAAGGTGTAAATGCTCACATTGAAAATTTAACAGCTGGCTCTTGTGAGCTGGTCTGAGCTGGCACCAACATACCCTTGGATGCGGGAGCAAAGACATCAATCAAAATCTATCTTTTTAAAGGAAATAAAAAAGACGGGCAAGTGTCCTTTGCAAGTGGTTGCTCTAACCTGAGAAGTGGTGACCATGTTTGGTGGAACAACTAAGGGGTGTGTGTAGTAGACCTTATGGTTATCGGCAGGAAACTGTGCCTGTCCCCTGGGCACATGGTTCTAATTTGTCCCCGTGGGGGCCAGGCTATGGATGCCATTGTATGGGTGCTGATAGTCAGAAGCCCAAACAGGACAGAGACAGGGGGGAAAACATTGCTCTGTGAGAGGATCTGGATTCAAATCCTACCTGTCACATACAACCTATGTGACCTTGGACAAGTAAATTCACCTTAGTTTCCTCATCTGTTGGTCTAGATGACCTGAAGTGGCCTTTCAAGCTCTCGTGCCAGAAGGCTTTGGCTTCCCAGATGGACAGACAGCTTGCTTGATCTTACCTGACATCCTAAAAGGCATGAAGATCTTCTCATTGGTGTCCGGGTGCAGGATGGCCTGTGAGACAGTCAGGAAATAGCACAGCATTGAGACTAGGGTGAGTTCAGGTGGGGCTAGGATTGGGGGTAATGAGGGGGATACATCAGTGGAAGAAGAGGGTAGAAAAGAGATTGAATGCCCCAAAGAAAACTACAAACGGTGAAGCATGGCAGAGTGAGACCTTCTATCCTGTGACAGTAAACGCCACACAGAGCTCACCCTCTTTGGACCCTCCCACACTACCCATGCCTAGAACGGAGCTCTGGCCAGAGCTCCTTGGATGCACAAGACCGATTTATTGCATGGGTTCTAGCCCTGGCCGAAGCCACTGGAGACAGTATTTGGGTTATCCCAACCCTATATCCATCCACCCCTTTCTAATGGGAGCAAAGGGGAGAGGAAGTTCATAGTAAGTCTCATGGACACTAACGGGAAGGGAACTGAGCTTCTTCAGGAAATCCCCATTGTGGCCTGGAATGTAATTCATGAGAACGAGGGAGGGAAAGGTTCCACAAAGAGGAGAGAAAGAGACTGGTTCAAAGCTAGGCATGGCCTGAGATTAGGGGAAAGAATTCTAAATCAAATTACCTGTTTGATTTTCTGAGCACTCCAAAGCTGAAAGAAGAAAAAGAAGATATTGGAGTTTAACTCGATGAAGAAGTTACAATGTATAGTAACAAGGTACTGATACACTGAATCGAGAGGCTGAGAAGCCTAAATCGTGGATCTGAGAACTAGATGGTGTGACCTGAGGCCTCCCAGGGGAAAAGAATACAGGGGCAGAGCTCTCGGGCTTCCTGCAAGACCCAGCTCAAATCCCACCTTCCACAAGAGGCTTTTCCTACTCCCCCACTCCCGACTCGCTGCCTTCCCTCGGAGATCATCTCCCATTTACCCTGTATATATTTTGTACGGACATAGTTGTCTGCCTCCTGTCTCTCATCAGATTACGATCATCAGAGACCATATTTTTTCCTTTCCTTGTGTCCCCAGTGCTCTGCACCCTGTCTGGCAAACAATAAGTGCTTAATAAATGCTTGTTGACTAACCGAAGTAGAATGACACAAATTAGCCTTCTGTGTCTTACCCAGTTGTAAGTCCTGGTCACACAAACATTTTAGACTCTAACAGCTAGAAGGAAGCTCAGAAGTCACTTGATCTATTTTATACCCAAGAATGGTTTCTTCATGACATGATTATCCAACCTTTACTTGAAAACCTCTAACAAGGGAGAAAACACCAGTTCCTAAAGTCATGCATTCCATTTTCAGATAGTCCTGATTGTTAGGAGATTTTTCTTTATATCAAACCCAACTTTGCTTCTCTAATAACTTCCAGCCCTGGACCTGCAATCAAATCCTAGCTCTCTAATTTATTTTTTTATTTTTTTATTTTGGCTAGGCAATGGGGTTAAGTGACTTGCTCAGGGTCACACAGCCAGTAAGTATCACGTGTCTGAGGCTGGATTTGAACTCGGGTCCGCCAGACTCCAGGGCTGGTGCTCTATCCACTTGTAAGGAAGATGAAGTTTAGTGTGTATAGGATGGATTTTTTGTTGTTGTTTCTTAGAGTTTTCTTCCCAGGATCCATAGCCATCACAATCTCTGCCTCCCGGGTGTTAAATATGAGTTCTCACAATGACGGTCGAAAACAGTTTCTACTGCACAGTTGAGGTAGGTATAGGGATGAAGTGATGTAAAATTGTGGGGCTGTTGCTGGCAATGTGCCTTCTTTGTCTGCTGCGCTATAAAGCAAGTGGGCATTGGTCAGTGAGTGGGGACCCCTTTAGGGGTGAATGCACATGCTGGAATGCTATGCATGCCTTGATCGGCCCCCTTGAGAAAGGGACTCTATGTGTTTGCCTCAACCAGCCCCCATTGAGGTTTGAGGGGATTTAGAGGAGAGCACAAGTTCTGCTGGTCTCGATTGACCCCATCAGGACAAGGGGTAGTTGCCTCCCCCCTTCAGTCCGGGAAGGGTTGTTAGGGAATGCTGTAGGGGTTGGAGCTCCCATCATCAGCAAACTCCCTTTGAGAAGACTAGACTAGAATAAAGTAAGCTTATTTAACCCGTTATTATGACTCCACTCCTGTCTTCCTGTCTGACCAGATCAAAAGCAAACCTGCTAGTGAGAGAGGAGCTAGAAGCCCTACTGTGTCTCCTTCCTAAGAAATGGCATAGCGGGTGTGTTTACTTGTCCAGCACCACTGCCCCACCTAGTTGCCTTGCCAGCTAAGTTACTTTACTTCTCAAGGCCTCAGTTTCCTCATCTGTAAAATGACAAGCTGGTTGGACCAGGTAACCTCTGAAGTTCCAGCAAGATCTAAATCTACTAATGTAAGGAAGTTTCAAAACCAAGCTCATGTTTCTCTCTCTCTCTGTCTCTCTCTTAAATGACTTGCCCAGGGTCACATAGCTAGTAAGTGTCTGCGGCTAGATTTGAACTCAGGTCTTCCTGACTGCAGGGTCTGTGTGTACTCCAATGCACCACCGAGCTGTCCCCTAAATTCTCTTTCTCCATCACTATCAACAAAATCCAGGCCTATTAGCATTTCAAGCAGAGTTTACAGTAAGGCTAAGGAAAGCAGACCCAGCCCAGGGCATGGGTGGAGCAGGCAGAGTCAGTCCACCAACTAGGATTTATTAAGCACCTGCAGTAGGCCAGGCTAGGCTAAGGGCTAGGGAGGCAAAGAAAAGCAAAAACAGTCATTGACCTCAAGGTGCTCACAGCCTAATTGGTAGATACAACATGCCAACAACTTTGTACAAATAAGATACAGGTGGGATAAACTGGAAGTAGTCTCCAAGGCACATGAAGGAACTGGGCAAGTTCTCTACTGCTCCCTCACAGTGTCATGGAATGTTTGCATTGCCAGAGTTCAACACCCTCATTTTATAGAAGAGAAAACTGAGGCACAGAGAAATACAGAGACTTGCTCATGGTCACACAGCAAATCCATTGCAGAGCCTGAGCCAAAATAACAGAATACAGTTAAAAGGGGTTTCCAAAAGTTATCTATCTGGTCCATTCCCCTGAGAATACCAAAGCATGTGGTCATCTAACCTTCAGATGAAAGCCTCCAGTGATGGCGAAACTCACTGTCTCTTCTTCCAATGCTGGATACTTCTAAATGTAGGGTTTTCCTTATATGGTGCTGAAATCTGTCTCTATGCAACTTCTACCCCTGATTGCTAGTTTTACCCTCTAGGTACAAAACCCACCTTGGGCATTTCCTAACTGTGTGGCCTTGACCTCTCTGAGACAAGCAAAATGACCCTAACTCCCTCTTCTGCAGTGGTCTTCAGAGACCTGATGGTGAAAGATAAGCAACTCTCCTTAATGAGCTCATTGGGCAGTTAAGGAGCCAAGTTTCACAGAAAACAGTGAACAGTCATTCTAAGACCGCAGGGTTCAAGTAGGAGATTCTGATGTGTGTGCTCTAAAGGCAAAGGGGATTTGATGCAGGGAAGGGAAAGAACATGGCAAAAGCATTATCGGGGAAGGCTTCCTGGAGGAGATAGACGAAAGCTGGGCCTTGAAGGTTGTAGAAGATTTGGAATGACAGTGAGCAGAGATCAGAGAATTGTAGGACTTGCAGCTGGAAGTGACCTTAGAGATAATCTTGACCAGGGTCCATTAGCTTTTTTGTGGCATAGACCCCCTCTGGCAGCCTGGGGGAGCCTATGGACACCTGGCTCCAAGGAACTCTTTTTTTTTTTTAAATTCACAATTAAAGGAAATTCTTAATTTGTTCAAAGTTAGTAAAAATAATGATTTTTTTTTCTATCCAAACTTATGAATTCCTTGAAATCTCTCCATGGATCCACAATGTTAAGAAGTCCTGATTTGGTCCAACCCCCTCATTTAGAAAGAAAATTAAGCCATCCAAGCAGCAGGTCAGACATAAGCAAAGATAAGTCATGGAAACTGACAGTTCTGTAGGTCCTTTAAGTAATAATAGGGATAGCAAACCTTTACATAGATTTAAATTTGCAAAAGGCTTTAAATATATTCTTACTGGAGACAAAGGAGCAGCTGAAAACAGGAAAATCTGGGTTCAAATCCTGGCTCTGACACTTCCTAGCTATGGGACCCTGGGCAAGCTGCCTGACCTCTCTGAGCCTCAGTTTCCTCATCTGTAAAACAGAGGGTTAGACTAGATGGTCTCTAAGGACCTTTCTGGCTTTAAATCTGTGACCCCATGAACCTTTGCCATAATGGATAGAGAGCTAGCCTTAGAGGCAGGAAGACCTGGGTGCAAACTCTACTGCTGACGCATACTGACTGTGTGACCCTGGGCAAGTCACTGGATAAATGCCCCAGCCGGCTCTCTAAGACTTTAAATTTCAGAAAAGGTGCCAACCTGTGCTGGTAGAGGATGAACACAACTACCACAGCTAGGGGGCGCCACAGCGCTGGGAGCATCAAGCCTAGAATCTGGACACCCAATCTGGCCTCAGACACTTCCTAGCTGGGTGACCCTGGGCAAGTTACTTACCCTTTGCCTCAGTTTCCTCAACTGTAAATAATAACAGCACCTACCTCAAAAGGGTTGTTGTGAGGATCAAATATGATAATATTTGTAAAGCACTTAGTACAGTGACTGGCATGTAATAATAATATAATAATAATTTCAGCTAACATTTATGCAGCACGTACTATGTAGATGTTATACAAATGCCTGTGCTCTTCCTCCCTTCCCATTGGTTTTATTATCACCATTACACAGATGAAGAAACTAAAGTTCACAGCACAGATATGACCTGTCCATGGTTCACAGTGAATCAGTGGCAGGGCAGAGATTTGGCCCTGGGTAGTTGTGGCTCCAAGTCCATCCTTCTGTCCCCTAGGGCAGCCTGCAATGTGTTAGGAAGAGGGAGACCCTACCCAGTGCTAGTTCAGGATGGTTTGGACCGGTAAAGGGAGTGGAAGAGGCAGAGAGACCAGGCACTGATTATGGAACAGAAGGGAGGAGGGAGATTGCAGGGTCAAAGATGTGTGAGCATGTGAGAGAGAATCATTTTAAGAGCCACTCACATTTTCTAGGTCTTTAAGTTTTGCAAAGGGTTCTCTATATATTATCTCATCTGAACCCCACTGTAACCCTGGGAGGCAGGTTCAAATGGGTGCTAATATGCTTCCACTTTATAAATGAGGAAAGTGACTTGCCCAAGGTCACACAGCTATGAAATACCAAAGGCAGGACTTGAACCCAGATCTTCTGGACTCAGCTATACCAGGCATATTCAGAAGGCATGAGTCAGTCCCTTGTTCCACCACTTATTAAATCTGTGCATTTGGTCAAGTTACTTCCCCTTTCTGGGCCTCATTTCCCTCATCTGCAAAATGAAGGGGTAAATGAAGATGGTCTCTATGGTCTCTTGTGGCTCAACATCTGAGATTCTCTGACCTGAGCGGTTTAAGCCTCAGTGACAAAGAGGATGCAGGATAGAAATAGGGATGCATGGAGTCTAGGGCTGAACCCCTCTGAACGTGCTCCATCTTGTCTGACCTTGAAAGCTAAGCAGTGTTAGGCCGGCTCCATACTTAGCTAGGAGACGTCCTGGGAGTACCAAGCACCCCAGGAAATAAGGGAGCATGTTACATTTCAGGG